AAGGCGAGAATAATAGTGCAAATCTTGAAGGGAGGAAAGTCCCGCGAAGTAAAAATGGCGCCGCGCCGCAACCGCGCGAATTAAGGTGACGTGATTCGTTGCAGATTCGAGATACGTGATTCCAAGGATGATGAGGAGCATCATTGTACGGGAAAATTCCAGCATGACAAGAACCGACGGGATGAAGCGTAGGGTGTAGAGGACAATTTGAAATATAAGGTCGTTGTGGAAACATAGGAGGGAAAAGTGGTAGAGGATTGCGGGGTAGTGTGAGAATATGGCGGAATATATGAAAATGAAAGGGTCACCATTTTTGGGGAGGATGAAACACGTACCGACAACGGCGGAAAGGGCGCCGGCTTTCAGCCAAAATTTTAGCGTGGTTTCGAGTCGAGTAGTGACATCTTTCGTGGCGATGTGGTTTGGTCCGAGTTCTGTATAGAGGATAAATTTTATAATTAAAGAGGGGATATGTATTTAAATACGAAAAATAGTTCCTTAATATTTACTAAAAAATCAAGAATTTTAGCAAAATTGAATTGAATGTCTGGATTTTTATCGTTCAATTTCATTAACAGAAGCGTCTTTCATATCGTTGAAAAATTTACAAAATAATTTAGAAAACAAATTCTAAAAGATTCAACATGTCTTAAAGCCTAGAAATTGTGCATGTAAAGTTTACATATATATTTCGAAATTTTTTGCCATTTTTGCGAGTGAAGGAGCACACCCGAAGGTTTTACCGCCAGTCATCATCAAATCGAATAGTTGAAAATAAATTCATAACTGTTCTCTGGCTATAATTAAGAGAATTTCCTATTTGTATCAAATTTTAAATCTTTTTTTACCTCTTCGCAGCGAGACGTCATATTTGATAAGTGAATTCAATCCAAACAGAATATCTGGTTCCTTCCCGTTATTGAAAATTATTGTGTGGGTTGCAACTAAAATGATTCCCGTTGAAAAAACGACTACCGCAAGAAACCCGAATAGCTGTGGGGTTTCGAATGACATCCGGCGACCTGATTCCGATAACGTTTCATTTGCTAATCTGAACATTAAAGTGGTTTGATTTTCACAGTTTTTATAATTTACTTTATTTAGCCCCGAAATGAGATCGAAATTTCGCCAAGAACTTATCCAAAAAGCCAACGAGGGCATCGTCATGGCAAAAATTCCCACTAAAATGACAAAAAGTATGCGAATTGCTTCAAATTTTCGGCGTAGAGTGAACCACTGGCGAGATGCGGGATTCCACTGGAGATGCAACTTATACTTGAAAGGGTACCGAAGTTGAAATACGGTTGAGTAAACGGCTAAAATTCTGAAATGTGATGCCGACATTTTGTCAAAGGGTTGTATTTTTACATAGAAATCCTCCTTAGAAAGAAATATACAAATCGAGCTTTACGTTGAAGTCGACGGGGTAATAATTTGTTACCAATGACATTCAAAAATAACATCTACTTATGACAGGAAAATTGTTGGACTAAATCTGTAACGTAGGAATGTTTTTAATTTTTGTGCAAAGCTCAGGATCACGTCAAGGTGATCCCAAAGTAGACTTGGGGATTATTTTTGATATGTACGATAATTACGATTCCACGAAATCATCGAAATATTCTTTTAATATGGGCACATGTGTACAATAACTGCATAAGTACATATGCATGGTGACTCAAAATATGAGACCGTAATTGAACTTCAAACTTTGAAGTTTTAAAAATTGTTCTGGACATGTTATTTACTCGATTTTTTGTAAATACATTGGTCCCAAATTATCTGATCTGCAATACATATGTAAGTATGTAGATAAATTGAGGTTGGACATGTCAACAAAACATGCATATTTATATGTATCCATGATATACATATATTTACAAAGATAAAGTGGAAATTGTATGTTATTCCGAAGGAATTAAGTACAGTTCACTGCGATATATATGTGGTTAAAGTTCGCATCAGGGGATTAATCGATATAATTCAATAAAATACATGCTCGATTTAAAGCGTATTTTATATATCAGTACGTATATTGAGATACAAATACATATTTACATATGTTTGTACATAGTTGCAAATGTCCTATATTAAGGACATATTTATGTGTATGTATATGTACATACATACTTACATACATATCTACGTACATATGTATTTATGTATATATCTGATATTATTTAATAACCGGCCTGTCAATCTAATACTGCAGTATTTCTTATAACAAATTCGGTAGCTACATATGTATGTTTATCTCTAATATGTACGTTGCAATTTACTCAAGTATACAAAAGGCGTTAGGACATGGTTTTGACGAATTCGCGGATGAATATCTCTGGCGGGGAGTTGAATTTTGAACTGATTTTTTGTAGGCTGTAAGATCATACTCTCAGAAAGATATGTTTAAAATTTTAGGGCGATAGCTTCAAAAATGCCCCCTCCAGTGCCCCCAGAGTTGGAAGGAGCCAAAAAAATACTTTCCAAACTGAATTACTCATATAGCATGATAACCCAAGAGGTCAGAGGTGGATGATTGTTAATATTACAACCCTAGATAATCATTGCATGAAATAATAAAAGAATCCACAATGAATTACATAACGTTGTGCCTCCATCGTCGCTGATACTTTTCCATGAAAAGTGATAAATCGGACCGTGCACCGGGAAATTGACCTGCTGACCTTGAAAACGGACAGACTGGGTCAAATGAAGATTGAGGGTAAAGCTGGAAGTGTCCTAAGTAATATTAAAACAAACAGTCAAGATTTTGTATAAACAGTTTTAGAGAAGGACCCGAGTTAATCAGCTGTCGCGGAATCCTAAAAACCTCGTGAACTTATTTGGAAAATTAATGGTAAAATTTTTTCGAAAATAAATTTTAATAATCTTTTTGTGTCCCCTACTGCAGAACTATTTTATCTACAAGGTACAAGTGCCAAAATAATAAAATTATTGCGTTTTGGTTAGTTAAATTATTTCTGAAGTTCGACATCGAAAACGACCGGAACTTTTCCAAAAATTTTATAAGGTCTGATGAAAACTCAGTCCGTGGGATATAACCACTTATCAAAATTTTGTCAAAAGTACTTACAGTGCAATATACTATATGTACCTTGGATAAAAACCACGTTAGGGATTTTTAGCATCAAAGTCGTAAAATGTGGGGGCCTTAAAAGTGGAAGAGTTGCGTTAAAGAGCGCATTTCATTAGGACAAGTATGAAATTAGACTGTAAAACGGACTTAAAAGATAAGCATGAGGCAAAAGTGGTTTTATATAGTGAAAAGCATGCTAAGTCCCTTAAAAATAGTCGCAAAATCTATTTTGGCATCAGGACCTCAGAAAAAAATATTTTGTTCAACGCCATTTTATAAGAACACTGGTTTGGAAAACTAAAAAAGGACACCTCTCCAAATTTGACCTTGCCTCATTTCGCAGAGTACACAAAATCGGAAGCCAGATATGCTTACCTATAGTTTGAGACATGGGCTTTCAAATAAAAAAAGTTAGAAATCTCTACGACTAAAAACCATCCCGCAATTAAGGTATGAATTCGTCAAAACCATGTCCTAACGCCTTTTGTATCTACATACATATTGAAATACAACAACAATATTTCCACCATAATATGTATTGAGGGTATTCCAGATTTCTTTGTATTTTTAGTATTCTTCGTGTCGTAAAATAAGATATGTACGACGGTTACGAGATTTTGTGAGTACGGTTTTGTCAGAAAAAAATCGCATTACTAAAAGTTCACGATTTATACGAAGCTTGACCCCTGGTATTTCTCGTAAATTATTTTACTATACTAAGGATACGAAAAAATAATGAATATCATTATAACCCACTGAAATGAATGTAGTAAGAATTTCTTAGTAAATTTAAACACGCACCCTTGATTAAAGTTAAGTCATTTGTAATGAATTTGTTCAGATCAAACTTAAATTATAAACCGGAAATTTACTCCACACTGTGTCTAAAAAAATCTGGGCTTACATAATCTCCAATAAAATTTATTTAATCAAAAACGTTAATATGAAAATTACTATTTAAGTTCATATTGGGAATTTTCTCTTCACGGAAGATGCTGTATTCAATATATGTACTACACAAGGGAAGCAACTATTTTTTTATAGTACAGCGGAATATCAATTATGAGGAAGCATTGGAAAACACAGACGAAACTTTTTGTCATACAAAATATCCAGGTCTTTACATATTTCATACATTTTCCCACCACTTTTATTTCTGCATTATTAAGGGGTGAAAGCCCTTTATAAGATCGTTATGTCCGTCTGTCCGTCCGTCCGTCTGTCTGTCCGTAGCTCCGATAACTTTTGAACGAAAAGACATAGAGACTTGAAATTTTGAACGTATACTCCTAACGTCAATGGACAGGACGAGTTCGAAGATGGACACTGTGACATCGTCACCTGTGACGATGACGTCGTCACAGTGACGAAAAGTGACGAAAAAGTGTCACGTGTCAGTTTTGACATGTGACACATCATTTTTAACTATTTTTCAATGAGGAATTCGAAAATTCATGTCATTTTGCGGTTGGACGTCACCTGTGACGATGACATCGTCACGGTGACGAAAAGTGACGAAAAAGTGTCACTTGTCAGTTTTGGCATGTGACACATCATTTTTAACTATTTTTCAATGTCAAATTCAATGGTGACCTCCATTTTGACCTCAGAGGTCATGTAAAGGTCATAGGACATATCTATTTCAATTTCAACTGAAATTTAACCCCGAATTCAATGGTGACCTCCATTTTGACCTCAGAGGTCATATAAAGGTCACATAAGGGTTATCAACTGTTAAATTTGACACAAATAAGACACAAAAGTCGAAAACACGTCAGAAGTGTCAATCTTAACAAATTTTCGAACAATTTGATATTCACATTGACGTATGACACTCCTTTCACCCCTTGGTTACATGCGTTGTAACGGTTTATTTTTTATTAGGGTCACAAGTTTACGTCTTTAATTTTATAATTATGAACATATATAATAATTATCCTAAATTTATTTGTTTCGTCCTCATAAACTATATTTGTAGAACTAAATATTTGCAATAAGGAATAAATTCCTGTCCAGTTTTAAATACTAAACATTTAATAATTTTACACAAAACCTTATTTCAACAGGACCAAGGAATCGTATGACCTAACATGACCTACCGGCTCATTTCCTTTAAACCTCCAAAGTTTATAGATGACTTTTTTCGCCGCCACGTATCCTCCACCATCCTCACCGCCCGCGTCGACATAAACAGCTCCAATTAACGCTTCTAGTAATTTATCGCAACGCCCAACTCCAGATTGGTGCAATTTTACAAATCTATCCAACTGGAGAAGATCGGCAATTTCTTGTTGTCGGTTTCGATTTACGAGGTAGTCACGTTCTTTGGAAAGGTGGCCTTCAGTATGGCTCGGATAAGTGAGGAAGAGATAATTCGTGACGACAAATTTGATGACGGCGTCGCCCAAGTGTTCGAGACGTTTAAAATCGTGTGACGTGGCTTCCTCGAAAAGTTTTTTATCCTGGAAGGAATGCCCGATGGAGGATTCGAGTTCGGAGGAGTAGCCTGCAAGATTAATAAAAAATTGAAACCACTTAATATACTTTGGGGGGTATTTGGGATAGTTCCATTGTTTCCAAAATGGCATAAAAAACTTGTTTAAAAATATGGAAGTTCTTAAATTTTTTGTCCACTAATAAATATATTAAGTTAGTATTATTGACTGTTTAAATGTGTACGAATTTTTGTTTAACGTTGTACACTTGTACCTTGTACCTGCAATTTTAAATATTTAATGTAACTGGATTTAATTTTTTGCTTACCTTGACCCATTTTTGATTAGATTGTATAGACTTAAATTATGAAATTAAATTGAATTAAAATCTGTAATTTTATATTAATGTTTTTTTAAATAACTATCGCGACGATGTTTGTCCACAACTGTATGTAGATTTTAAAAAGTGTGGAGTGCAAATTTCCAGACAATTGCCTTTTATTGCGAATTCTTGATGCGAAGGTGACGTTCCTGGAAGAATGCATGGCATAATGGTCAAGATCAACCATGTGCAAATACATAGGTAGGTTTGCGTCATGCTACGTTAAGTTTGTAAATATGTTATTGTTCACCAGGGCACTGTTCTCATTCAGACAGTTGCATACGATTGATTAGGGGCAAAATACGTTCTTATCAGTGTGCGGCCACTTATGTCATGGGAAAGGATTCGTTGGGTAAACTAACGTATCTTAAACGATTTAAACGTATGGAACGATTTGTGATGTTATTTTTGTCAACAACAAGCAGAAAGGCAGACAAATAAAATAAAATTACTCCCCTGTGCATACATCTATATACTTGGCTAAAGTTTTTCTCACGATTTTTTCATATTCATAGATTCATACACTCATAAAAGAAATTTATTGACAACGAGCATAAATCGGTATCACTGAGGACTCGGCTCACAATTTCTAATTATCCACAGCCGTATCCAGCTTTATAAATCATTTTTACACATACCTAAACGCCGTATGTACAGAAATGGGTTGCCAATTACTTTACAATTATAATTGTATAATTAAAATATCTACATATCGTCGCACTAATTCTAAATAGACGTAAGTGCAGTCGATGTTTTATTTTTAAAAGACGTAAGTGCACTCAATGTTTAATTTTAAAAAGACGTAATTGCACAAAAAAACTAGTAAAACGACGGTAGTGCACTTTTGAAATTATTAAGAGTAATTACTTGTTCAAAATTGTCAATTGAAATTTTAATTGGCCCTGGTAGGCTAGTAATGAAAGAAAATTCAAAATTTAAAAACCACACCCTCAGGGGGTGTGGTTCTCTTGGGCCTAACGTAAGGTGAATCAAATCCTGACTTTTATTTCTTTTCCCCCCCGATAAGGCAATTACTAAAGATTATTAAAAATTTAAAAACCACACCCTTGGTGGGTGTGGTTCTCGGCGCCGAATTTGCTACAAATAAAACATGGCATCTAATATATTATTTTTCTCAGCCCGATGATCCATATTCGACGGTGCACATAAAATTTTAAAACTAAAATTTTCAGGGGGTATGGTTCTTAAACCCATAGGGAATAGGTTACAACTTGTCAAAATTCAGTTTTGGGACCTTAGGGACGTTCATAAACTTCATAACGCAAATTTTGGCTTTTTTGGACACCCACCCTCCCCTATGTCACGCTGGTGTCACAAAAATTGGTAGCCCACCCACCCCCCCCCCCCACAGTCACGTAACGCAAGTGTCTAATTGTACAGCCTCCAAGAGAGATAAATTGTCAGTGTTGGTTTAGATGAAGGTGTTCAGCATATGTATTTACATATGACTTAATGAATTTTGAAGTTTGAACTTCAAATTTTTAATGACGGAAAATTCCAAACTTTATTGTAAGTATGTATGATGTTCGAGTGGGTTGAACAATTGGTCTGAATTTCAGACCAATACTAAATAATTAACTTTTGGGATTTATGTACATTATGAGGATATAGTCAACTTGAATTTCAAGTATCATTAACATGTACATAAATACTAGTTAGCTACTTGGTATACATGCAAATAAAATACATAACTACTTTTGAATTAAAAACATCGTTTCTGCTATTTTAAGTATACTTTGCTCATCTTATTAGTGTTTTAGTATCAAAGTATTTCCACTTTTAATATGAAAAATGAATGAAGACTTTTAGGACTTTTAAGTTTGGAGGAATGATAGCTTGACGATTTTTGTGAACTCTTTATACAGGCATGTACTTTGTGGCGAAACAAACCCATCTTGAAATTTTTTTTCTGAATAATAATTTCATGTTATTCGATGTGTAGTAAATTTCAAGTCGATAAATTAAGTCTTACGAGCGTAATCGATTGACATACAAAGAAGTAAGCAACTATATTAAGGATAGATTAGCCCCCCAACTTGGGGCTAGGGTTGCCGCGGGTAGCGAAAATGCTACCCGTTACCCGACCCGTTACCCGCAGCACAACCACCCTTACCCGCACGGGTACCCGTGCGGGTACCCGTTACCCGCTACCCGTTATGAGAATTAAGTTAAAACCTCACCAGCCACCAGAATAAATTCGATTTAATTAATTATTGGCTCATTTTGGTTGATATGTATTTTGATACAATGCTACGCAAGTAACGCATGCCATACTTTGGTATGGGAATGTCACTAGATGTTTCTGAAACCGAACTTTTTGGCTTACAATGGAACATTTTTCAAACTACATCGGAATTTCTTAGCGTATTATATCAAAATATAAATCCCAAAATTAGGAATTATCGATTATATTTCCCTTAAATAGCCAGTTTAAAGAAAACTATTGGGGGCAGAGTTCAAAGTCCACCATGGTTTCCGTCCAGTGGAGGAAAAACATGAAGAACATTTACTTAAAAATTGAACTTTGCCGACAATATTTTTCTTCAAAGTGGACATTCAACGGAAAGTATCATTCAACGGAAAGTATTCCTAATTTGTTGCTTGAATTATTAATATGTATACTCGCTAGACAATCTTGGTGTACTTTGTGAACTGATTTATGCCGAAAATTAAATAAAAACAGAACTACCCGTTACCCGTGCGGGTAGCTCTCGCTACCCGCAGATAACGGGTACCCGCAAGAATTGTGCGGGTATGCGGGTAACGGGTACCCGACCCGTTACCCGCGGCAACCCTACTTGGGGCTAAACAATATTGCTGTAAGGCTTCAAAACAGCACAAAACTTTAGATAGCTGAATATTACCCTAACCTTACAGGGTGGAAAATATATATTTTTAAAATATAAATTCTCGGTATACATAAATTTAGTTTCATTCATTTTTATGATTGTTATGCATTTTATGTACTTTTATACCCACAAATTCCTAAAAACTAACCTAAACTAAAAATTATATTGTGTGCACAAAGAGAAATTTGCGTTACAGTAACATGTATCAGCTCACCCACCCTCCCCCCTGTCACGCTGCGTAACGGAATTTCTAGTACCCACCCACCCCTCTTTGCGTTATGAAGTTTATGAACGTCCTCCTTCGGGGTGTAACCAAGTAAAACTTCAATTTTGAAACTTTGGGGGTGTAACCAAGTAAAAATTCAATTTTGAAACTTTGGGGGTGTAACCAAATCAAAATTCATTTTTGGAAACTTTTTTGGTGTAACCAAGTAAGAATTCAATTTCGGGTTTAAGAACCACACCCCCTGAAAATTTTAGTTTTAAGATTTTATGTGCGCCGTCGAATATGGATCATCGGACTGAGTAAAATAACATGTTAAATGCCATGTTTTATTTGTAGCAAATTAGGCGCCGTGAACCACACCCACCAAGGGTGTGGTTTTTAAATTTTTGATAATCTTTAGTAATTGCCTTATCAGGGGAAGAAAAGAAATAAAAGACAGGATTTTGATTCACGTTAGGCCCAAGAGAACCACACCCCCTGAGGGTGTGGTTTTTAAATTTTGAATTTTCTTTCATTACTGGCCTACCGGGGACAATAAAGTAAAATTTCAATTGACAATTTTGAACAAGTAATTACTCTTAATAATTTCAAAAGTGCACTACCGTCGTTTTACTAGTTTTTTTGTGCAATTACGTCTTTTTAAAATTAAACATTGAGTGCACTTACGTCTTTTAAAAATAAAACATCGACTGCACTTACGTCTATTTAGAATTAGTGCGACGATATGTATCCAGTTATGGGAACACAGGAATACTTATAACTACTTCATAATTTGATAATTCAAAAAATAGTCATGATCGGAAGCCCAGAAAGTAAAACCATGTTAGATAAACTGTTAAGAAAGAGTGTAAGGTGTATTCTCCGAGTTACGCAAAAAATTGTTTTACAAAGTATCGAAAAATCTGACTACGCAGCAGTCGCACAAAAGAGGTTCCTAAACTTAAAAAAAAACGCAGATAAATCGTAGAAAATGTCCCTTAAATAGGACGAAGAGAGAAACGGACTACAAATAGTACACTTTCTCCAGCTCCTTTCCTGGGGGAAGTGTACCTAGAATAGAAGCAACGTTCCCACGTTGAGCGGCGAGCGAAACCCGCTCGCAAAGAAAATTCACGGCGCTGGCCTGTCCAGTTGTTCTTGTTGCAGCGATCCTCTGGCCAACTTGGAGGATGAAGGCCAGTCCCTCTTGGCCCCAAACTCCCGTGGTCTCTATGGCAACGGGCAAAAAAATGTAATAAACCCCCACCCGACATGACCGCCAAAAAAGTGGAAGCCAAGCTGGCGGATGGTGACATTCGGAGAGCAATCCGCCTAGCCTGCTCCGACGACACCATCGCACCGTCCGATGATGAAACCCTTGCCGCCCTTCTCACCAAACACCCTGCTCGCCCACAACCAGTCGACTTTCCTCCCCCATTGGAGGATCCCGCCTTTGCCCCGGTATTGGACGAAGAGTTGCTTCGGGCAATTTCCTCGTTTCCGCCAGGGTCCGCTGTGGGACTAGACGGATTGAGGCCCCAGATTTTGAAGGACCTCCTAGGGTGTAGTCAAGGAGAAGGGGGCGACCAACTCAATGCGGACCTTCCTCAACAATGTCCTCTCCGGGGGAGTCCCGCCAACTTTCTGGCCACTTTTTTATGGAGCTTCCCTAACGGCGTTAAAGAAGAAGTCGGGCCGGATTCGACCCATCGCTGTGGGGAATACATGGCGGCGTTTGGCCGCGAAGATCGTCGTGGGAAGAATTACCCCCCAGCTAATTAAACATTTTTCCCCCCACCAACTGGGGGTGGGTATCAAGGGGGGCGCGGAGATCGGCGCCCACGGAGCCCGCATCTTTTACGGGCACGCCCACACCTCCCCAAAGGCGTTCCTGAAAATCGACTTCAGGGACGCCTTCAACGAAATTTGGCGGGACACGCTACTCCACGCCGTCCGCAACCAGTTCCCCTCAATCTTCCCATTTGTGGCGCAATGCTAC